CATATCAGCCTATAAATATTACTGCACTGAATGTGACAAGATAGGAAATTCGACAAGTGGTTGGAGTTCAAATGTACTTCAAAATTGAGCATTTTCAGAAATTATATAATGAGCGTGAAGGTCTCTAAAATAGAGTCCCGATTAGATGACACATCCTGTATTATGCACAGGTACGGCTGCAATTGTACAGATGATCCGAGAGAGTAAAAGTTTTGTAATGCATGGTACAGTACAGCTCATTCGCACAGCTTTCTGTTTGACCCTTGGGTGCCATTATTTTTTTCCCCCTCCAATAATTTATTATTTCTTTCTACTTGGTTATGAATGTTGCACATGTATTTGTAGCATGGGCGTCATATTCAGTACAGTACAAGGGTTCTTCAAGGACTGCAGAAGAATGACACGTACATTGTACTGTCTTAGTCTTTTCAAGGATGTCGCTAATGAGGGGACATTTTAAAAGCACTACAAATTGATATTTTGCTGAGGTATCATCAAATAATTTGGGGATAAAAATATATATATGTATATTTAGAAAATGTGTGTGCATAGGATTTCGAATTGAAAAATTGGTTGTCTAAGTTTGGTTGTCTAACAAGTTTCAGTCTAACAAATAATGTGCCAAAAATGATATACCCTAAATGCATCATGGGAGTACTGCAATCAACAAAATTTGAACTTTGTATACTCTGATAAACTAATGATGCATGTACATAAAGACAAATACCCAAACTGGTATCTATTGAAAAATGATTTCCGTCATAGCATTAATTGGCCCTAATTAACCATTAGAAAACGCAAAAATTCGTACAATCAACCTTCGCTATTGAAAAACAAATCTTTTTGAGTACTAGTACAAATTTTCCTGACAAATACAGAATAGTATGCAAAAAAAAAAGTAGTGAAAGCGTTCACAAACACAAAAAGGAAATTTGTTGTACAAAGTGAGGAGTCAAATTTTTCAATAAATTCCAAGTTGTCAAATACTTAGTGGCCTGTACTATCTTCCATGTATGCACACGGTGATCCATCAAGCCTTTACACGAATATTGTTCATTGGAAATGATTTTCTCCATTAATCCCAGTCATCATCTACACATATACCCAACATTAAAGGAGAATACAGTCAATACGAGTGAAAAATGAATACGGACTTTATATTGCTTGTAAGACAAAACACTTTATTCTAATATCAATATATTTTTATGGCAAGAACATGTGTCACATTATAACAATGTACTGCCCAATTTATTGTTATTGATTGTATGTAGATTTCGTCGAGTTCGCTGTTTTCTGATGTGGAGCAGTAGTTGAATAGCAAATATCAATCCTATCAACTGAAAATAAAAAAAAAAATTGAATGTCAAAACTGGTCTTAAAATATAAAAAGCTGACGGAACACGCCTGTGAATAAACATGTGTAAGAAACTCTATCGCTGTGTCAGTCAATAAAACAATTGCCGGTACTGGTTTTCGAATAACATTATTTCATCGATAGAGGGCGTTATTTATTGGAACAGTTGGAGGGAGAACAATTTTACAAGCGTTGTATCAAGTTACGCAACGTAACGAACACAACGCGTTGCAATTGCAACCACCACTCTCTGTGGTTCAGAGGTCGATGTCACAGTGGACTGGTCATATTCATGTATGATATCAACAGCGAGATGAATGACGGAAGCATACCTGTGCTATTCCAATTCCTAGTATTATGGCATACAGTATTCGAATATACTGGTCAGCATACTGGGACACTGCTTTAGCACATCCCTGTATTAATAAAAATAGTAAATAGATAAATGATGTCTGCGAGGTGTCGCTCAGCATCCGGGCTTTTCTGCTTATATGCGGTATTCATTGGGCCATTTTTAGTAATTTTTCATTGAAGTTATTTTTTTTTGTACGAATGGTAACCAGACCTCGGTGAGACGGTAATCGATGAAACCACCTGTAATTCTAAGCACACCAATGTTTCAAACACCGAGAAGAAAGCACGGCTGTTTTTCACTAACTTGTTATGGATATTCTATACAAGAAGCTTAAAGCGGGGGAGTCGTTATCTGCTCATGTGTCAAATGGACATAGCGAGTCAATGCTTACAAATAAGCGTCTACCCATGAGCCTTTACGTTTTTTGCGTGTTTTATCGTTGCTTGGGACTCTATTCCCGCGCGTGCGCAGGTTATGACCCCCCCCCCCCCCCGCTTTAAGAATCGGTCACTTCTCTCTAGATTCACAAAGTTTTCCTGGTACGTTCATCTTGTTAAAATTTTACAATGTTTTGTCTTTCCGATGTCGTACTTGATAATCTGTTACTAAACATGGGACTTAACAACTGGACGTGTTCTTGATGTGGTGCATGCACCATATCACACGTATTGCAGATTAAGACAAGGAAGTTTTAGACTAATTTTATTCGAAAATGTGGTCTAAGTCTGATGGTCGTACAATATTTTTTTCATGCAGAGTGTTCCAGACTTAAACTGTCGGTAAACCTTAGTGATTGCCAACTAAGGTGCAAGTTGGCGTTGTTGATTGAAAAACCAGGCGAATGGTCTACATTTCATAGCATACCGTCGTTTTCACGTCACACCGTCTTCAGTTTTTGTGTGTCTACCGGTTACACCGCGGATATCATGAATGATAATGTACATTACAAGAACGAATATAAAAGATAGAGTATCGTGTACGGCAATTTGCTAATTTCAGATGAAATGTTATTTGAACATATATTTGATATATTCACCTTCGTGAAAACATCGGTGGTTAGTTTATTGTCACAAAAGAAACAGAAACAACTTCTTGGAGGGATCTCATAGTCTTCATATCCAGATGAACCGCAACATTTGAACTGGAAAATTAATAAAAAAAAGTTAGATGCATTGGCAATTCGCATCAAATGTTAGAGGTCAATTTATATAACAAGTACACATGGATAAATTATTTTATATAAATAACTACTTTACATAAATCATATCAAAATCATTGCACTAACTATAGAACACCCGAAATTTTCGCAGAGCCCATGTACACCAACAAAAGATGCAGCTCCATACACCTGTGAATTACAACGCAGTAGATTTCCAGTCTCTGTTGCTCTCTTATATAGTTACCGTTCCTGATTGGTATACTGCCCTCGGCGGCATTTGTCGCTATTATACACAGGGACTCAAGCGACGATACGGCGGCTCGCCGGTCTCCCGAGACCGAGTTTCAGTAACGGTTAGAGAGTGGAACCGACGCTAGTACTTATAAGACAAACCATTTTCATATGACGCTAAATCATAATTTTATTTACTAGTATTCGGAATACTGCGGGAACAACTCCCGTTTACTGACTACACTGACTACAAACATCGCGAGTAAAGAGAAAAACTGAAAACACAAAATATTACTAGTATTATTATATTAAAAGATCAATATTAGGTTACAAGTGCACAATATTGTTAAAAGTATTCATGAATCTAGTAATTGGCCAGAGTGTGTTTGAAAGAATTATTAATTCTGTCTCGAAAGCTGATTTTCTTGTTGAAAAGCCGGAAAATTAATATTCTGGTAGGTGCAATAAAACCAGTTTGAAATAACATATCATGTTCATATTAAAACGAAAATATGTGTTCATTTGCAATAAAACATATCAAAAGAAATCCCGTATGCTTTAATTTGATGGGGGGAGACAACCAGTGGTGGTCAGACAGTCACCAACTCTCCTACCTTGGTCTGCAACCAGTCAATAAAGATGACGACCGGGGAGTCTTCATCTCCTCGATAATAGACTTCACTCACCATGTCTGCCAGAGAATCCGTAATTTGGTCAACTAACTGCAATATAATTGGCGTACGTTTAATGTACGTGTACCAGGTTTATATCAAATCATGACGTATTACTCAGTAAGCGCACAATTGTGAAGCCCCTCACTTCGTAAAAAAAACAAGACTTGTGAAGTTATATTCCGCTCACCTTTCCTTTAGTGACCACCAAGAGAATGCCAACAGTCAGCTCAACTAGCATAATGAAAGCCATTATACCAAAATACTAAAAATATCAACGGACAAAAACTATTATATTGGATTATTAGAACCATTATATCAGCAATGCAAAACATTTTTTTTTCTAACTCTTTTTTTGTTTCAATTCCGTGAAGTAATGTTATGCCGAAAACTGATACGATCTATTGAGACAGAAAGTCGAAAGAAAATTTAACAGTTTTAAATTTTGGACTTAGGAAATGTATTTTTGATCAATGCTCAATTCAAAATGGCCGCCTGAGTAAGGATTCATGTTTCCATGGAAACAAGCTCTGATTCTTTTTTTTTTTGTATTTACATATTGTCTTTTACTTTATAGTAGCAGGTTTTTTTTAGATCTCTGTTGTTTATGGGGTAACCGGGATCTATGATTTCAACCTACTATTTATAGTTTCGTATTTGAAAGTCTACTTTTGCAGCCCCCTCCCATATCCTATACCAGGTTCGATCTCGTCCACATAGAATACTTAACCGTGAAATGAAACAATATAGAAAAAAATCGCTTACAAAGCCGAGACAATATCGGTTTTCATACTTGGCGCCACAGCATCCTAAACAACCAGTGAGACTGACGACTCCCGATACTACAATAATACCATACAAGGCAAGTCTAAAATTAACAGGACCATATTCGTCGAAACGGTGCTGGTATTTCACAAATATGCATATACCGATCACAGTGAGACCGCTAAACTGAAAATAAAATAATGATAATCAGTAAACCAAATTAATATTCACTTTCTCAAAGAAAACGATATATTTTGAGAGAGAACAATTAATTAAGTATTATTAGCTCTATGTATTATTTTGGGATAAAACACAGAATGCGTCAAAGGACGTGAACTGTAAACTGACACTTTGAAAAATGATTCATGTACGGAAAACGAAACGTCTAACTATCTAAAAGTCACTCATCTTCGCATACCGTGGTGATATCAGGCGATATAACAGCAGCTCACAGTGACTACAGGTATTTGCAGACATCCCATCCCATCCCATCCCACCCCACCACATACCACCCTACCCCATACTTATAGCAGTTATAATCATTACGATCAAGGAATCAGGGGATTGTATTTTTTATACAATAAATTAGTAACAACCTCCTGTTTTATAAATTTGGCGACTCGATTGCAAAATGATGGTGTATGCGCGAAAGGAATGTTTTTACAATTACGTCACAAAATTACGCAAACTACAATCTTCAATATTTATAATAGAAAAATCGAATTATTCTGTCACTATGTACCCAGTCTAGTCACTGCAATGCTGCCAATAATACACATAACAAGGTGTAATTACAATGAACGATGTGTAATTATTGGCGATGTGGTTAAATCGTCACCGTCACGCCGTTCTACCCAAACAATGCAAAACCAGGTCAAGTTCAAGTTGGATGTTTTTTTAATGTACGATAACGATACTCACCATCAACATTAGATTGAACAGGTACAGGATTAACCTGACGCATTTCATAGACATTCCTGATACGTATTTCGACATGGTAACGTCACCGACTATATTGACGTGCTAACGTCCTCTTCACTCTGAAATCGTGTCAAACTTTAGTACAACGCGTAATGCGATGTTGAATACTACTATTGTACCAGGTGCGTCCGAATGATTACGAGTATTGGGATTGGTGCGTGGTCAATTATTTCGTGCAGTTATGCAATGTTACGCAACCCTGCTAATTGAAATACACGTGTTTCGTCCAATATGAACATACCTTGTGTTATTAAATATATTATACAAGCAAAACTGCATATTTATTGAAAGGAATTCAAAAATAAGTGATTAGAACAATGTACCAACATTATCAGAACAGAAGTGCAACCATGTTCGACCTCAGACAAGTTAATAAATAATTTATTAGTTGTCTGAGGTTCGACGTGCAACCGTAATGGCAACTCTCTGATTTTAAAATTTCAATCAAATTTCTCAAACCATTTGAAATGGTACAATCCTGTGTCAAAGCGTATAGTCCATTGTGAAATGTATGATAGGACAGTTTTCGTTTTCACTCTTCGGGATGTAAGGCATCCAATGGGAACAGAAAGAGTTTAGTATTCATGAATATTTACATAACTGATATCCAGTCGTTGGCGGCGCTTTTCTCTTTACATAATAGGCAACAATACCATTAGCCACAGTCCGAATGACTGTATATTAGCACAACAGTCTTCACTGGTGCCGTTCCACGGACCACATCAAGGGTATGTAACTGAGCCGTGTCACATACATCGTATCGATAACTGCATCTCCTATGTAATCATTTGTAATTTGAACGAAACTCGACCGTTGAGTGACAACAAGCTTTTAATTTATATTCACGACTCTGCCGCGGGTGTGTCGTGTTTATTATAGAATATATAACCGCATATATACTGCTAATTTTACTATGAAAAGCTTGATCGCATCCATTATTGCGCTGTCTGAGTGGTCAAACTGAAATCGATGTAAACGTGTTGATTTCATCGTATTCTCTAAACGAAGATGGGACCAATGCGCAGTATTATTGGACCTGTGTGTATTACGTGTGCGTTACTAGCGAGTTTATTTCATCAGTATTCCTGCCAAATCGGTAAGTACAGCGACCACCGGTGTGTTACTATGACAATATCGCGTAGTACAATATAAAACAAACAGTCCACCGTTATTCTAGTATACTGCACAAAACATTACCCGCACCCGATTATTGGATGCTGTGTATGGTTGCTTGACGGAAAGTAATTGAGGGGCGCCATGGGTCGCTGCAGATAGAACATCATTTACACGGTTCTTTCTCTCACATGAGGGCGTTTCCCCACTCGCTATTGTAATTAATGTTGTCGGGTCACGTGGGTGATTCGTGAATAAACAACAACTGAACATATGCAGTACTGGTATGTGGTATATAAACTGATTTTCTCGTAGAATCATTTCTATCCAATGACTTTTGATTCACGGGAGAACAATATAAAAATACACTCGCAATGTTTATTCGCCAACGACATGAAGCCATTTTTCGTTTCAGAAAAGTATAATATTTTCCGCGGTAGTTTGCTCTATATTATGAGTACTGAACATTTCATTGAGTAGAGGACCATTGTATTTTTCGTCACTTGTTATTATTTTTCTTTTGATGTTATTTCCATGATTAGCACTTTGCGATTTGCAACTGTATGATACTCCAGTGGAGTGAATGGTTAAACGCATTCTTGTTCTGGTTCCGAGTTATATTAGCAATGTACCGTGACGTGAGACGGGCGCTCCCATGTATGCATTTTTACCTCCAGTTCAGATTTTGAAAGATAAAACAAAAAAAGTTACGCTTTGTTCTTCACATTGTATAAACAAAGCACGTCGGAGGCATTGTTATGTTACAAATATGAAGCTGTATTAATCACGTGACATATCAATGTTCAACTTTAGCTTTAATTATACACTATTGTAGTCACGCATAATTATAAAGGTGACTAATTGTTTTTTTATTTTAATTTTCCACTCTGTGTCAGTTACTGCATATATAAATATGACAATGTATAGTTGTTATTAAGAGAAGATTGGATATAGTAGAAGATTGGATATTTTGTCCAGTGAGCTCAGATTTCAAATAATCGCATCTGTTATTTGGCATTTAAAAGTCTGGCCTTAAAACACGAAGATTGATATATTTTCATTTCTTAATTGTATTGTCTGTACAATGAAATTACAAGAGAATCACGCTCGTGAAGTCTATAATTTTATTACGTTGCTGGCTTGCTTGGGTGTGTCTGGATTACCGCTGTTTTATTTATTGCAATCGACACTGTACAATGTGCTGTACGTTGTGTTGAAGTGTGGCATTCTTTATTGAGGGTATCGCGTCTGTGTGGGAGGGGTAACATTTGTGCTAGTGCACATTTTTTTTTAAATATATACTTGCCTCCCGGGGATACCAATATACTAACTTGCCTGTATTTCTCGTCCGTCTACAGCATCTTTGACTCTAGAACCCGATGGTGTGTATATTGTCCAGGCAGGAAGTGAAGTCACATTGAAATGTACGTCTGTCCGTCCTGAGAAGAATGTCACCGACCCGCCGACTTATCTGGCCATTCCATTCCATGGCGACCATGACCGGCCGTTGATATCGGCCGGTGGGCGAGTAGAAATGACAGAAGACATGGTGAAGTATTCAACTAAACGTATTTTATCAGATATCGATTCATCCAACGAGGGGTGGTATTCATGCCAGGCTTCCAAACACAGTGTCGGTTTAGTTGCAGAAACGGAACCAACTTATATATTAATTTATGATGGTATGTTACGTGATAATTCATATTTAAGATTGGTTAGTACAATAGTTTGAAAATAACCCATATATCTTTTTAAAAAATTGTGTAATATAAAATGCACGCGTAGTGATCTAATCCTGTCTCTTTGGAAGTAACTACAACACGATTATATTCCTGTGAATATGTGCAGCCAGAAATATAAAAAAAAACTATAAAAAAAACTTTTATAAAATAAAAATACGACATCTTTACATGCCGTGAACCATGGCCTGGATTAGTGTGAAAAATAAGCCACGTTTAGTGTCCAAAAACATTTGGGCAATGTGACGCGTTTGGGTAATATCTCATTGGCTGCAAACAGTTACAGACTTATTAAATATCAATCCGCGATCCTAGAAATAGTTCCAAAGTGACAATTTCAAAATAAATGTATAAAGCAACAGACATCATGTGACTTGTAACAAATTACCTTGATATTTGATATTGACAAGCAGCTGGTCATACATGTGCACGTGTAATAACTTTTCCTCAGTTTAATTGAATATTCAATACACCTTTATAATAGTCGTGCCCTCTAACGACGAGCCGCTTCTGTGACGTCAAAATGACGTAGATGGGTGTAAGCACCGGGTAAGCACTATATTTAGCCGTGTGGTCGTCCGTCATTTTGAATAAAGTATGACTTAGATTGTCGCCTATATACGCCACAGAAGCGACAAATCGACAAAGTGTAATCCTATCTCGTTTCTTTTGTACAGTTAACATAACCCAAATCACGGTGGAAAATATCACTCTTCTGAGCTGCGAACTGGAAGGTGTCGACGCTGAGGGCGATACAACTATCAGATGGACGCGAAACGGGACGAATCTCACCTCAATCGCGGAAATCGATGACGATGATACCGATTATATGATGTACAATGATACATTGGAACTGATAGACGTCAACGCAGTGGATTACGGGAATTACCAGTGTATCGTTACCTTTCAAGTTGGAGATGAAATGTACACAGGGACGGGGGATTTCCAACTTGAAACGATTCGAGGTGCGTACCCATAGCGTTTCAGTCGCACTGCACGTCGTCATGTAATTAATTTATGTAAATGGAAAATATAATAATTTGCTATGCTACGATGAGCATTTAAAGTGATTAAAAACAGTGAAAAACAATTTAAGATACGTGTTTTAAAGTTTGCTTATATGACATATATCTCTTTTAACATTGTGTTTTTTTTATTTAATTTTCAGACAGTGAAGATGACAACGAAGAAATATCTTTGGCAGGTAATATGCGTAAAATATTTGCATGCCGAATAATTTAGACGTTAAACAGCCGGTGAAAATTCGAATTCGCTTTTATCTCACCGCCGTCCCCAAGTGTGACGCAATCATGTCGCCAGTGTATATGAACGGAGTACACGTGCAATTGTCCAGCAATAACACTGTCGTTATGCATTTATATTCTCTATACAGAAACACCAGCATGCAGCGTGATGATTCTCTCTGCCAGTCTGTATATGACGATGATTGTGTGGTAACAGTCAAATTACTGAGTTTCACAGGTGTCATCTTGGTACGTATTGTGTTATCTTCCTTGGCGCATTTTAGTATCGCTAAATTATTATTATTATTATTATTATTATTATTATTATTTTGTTTTTTGATTCAGGACAAAAGACGTTTCTGTGATTGGTCCATGTACACAGATTTTATATATAAATGAAGCTGCACAGGCATTGTTTACACAATATATATTATACGATTTTAATAGCACTTGCATTGCCACTTCGTCTCACACAACTTTACATTGGTAACATTATTAGTATTTACTGCAATAACAATCACATGCCATCGGAATGGCAGTACTCAATTGGATGGGATACTTACTCAATAGAACCCACCGCATAAACAGATACGAACGAAAATGTTGTAGATTTCATAATTAGTTCGTGTCTCGAAAAAAACATATTTCGGGGACCATTTAAATTATTGTTCCATTTGTTATTTTTGATGGCATGGATTATCCAAGAAAATTAGGTTTAAAGCCCAGTGGCGGATCCAGCAAAATGTATTGGGGGAGGGGGGGGGGGAGTCCAAGCTTCGCTTAAGATATACGGAGCGTATATCGCAGAGAAGATATGCGTAATCCAGATGATATGAATCGTCATGCGTTGGGGGGGGGGTGCCCCCCTGCTCCCCATCTAGATTGTCACTGCGGTGGTCGTCGCGCAGCGCGTGTTCGAATTTCATGTAAATAAACAATAAATTTTACACGCGTTGTATACGTCGCTATGAGGCCCATATCAAACAGGACGCGGCGCGACGACTACCGCCCTTTAATTTTAATTCGGTCCTAACCTACTTAAATTAGGAGAGATACCAAATGGCCCGAAAATAGCATAGATAGGAGGTAAGTATAATCGAACGCTCTCACTTTGGACATCGAATAAACAGCGTAAATAAGAATCAATGTGATCAACGCATAGTGATGATGTATATTGCTGATCAGAGTACAGTTTTCGAGTCTTTCCATCATCTATTGTTTATATTATAGTTATTATAATAATAATAATTTCACAGCATAATTCAAAAGCTTGGTGCTGAAGTTTAAATTTGGGAATCAGGGAATGGACATTCATTTAGTTCCTTGTTGTTTTACGCAACCACTTGTTATTTAATGCGATCTAGTTTCTTTTTTAAATTTTTGATACGTTTTATTTATTGGATGGTTGTCACGTTCAAGGTTGAATCTCAGATCTCATTTACTTGTTACATTGCACATATATACATTAGTAGTTTATTATTGTTCAACAGTTTGGGGACAAGTCAGTTGTTCGCATGATTTCCACTGATATTGTCAGTGTGAACTGTGAAGGAAGGCATGCTATTTCATATCCCGGTTTCCAATATCCCGAACTTGTAGATAGTAGACAGCGCCACCTAGTGGCAGAGAACTTCAATAGTACTGGTATGTACTTTTCTCTCAAATTAGTTAATGGCGAACTACCAAATTGATTTTTTTTTGTATCCCACCACAAATTATTCTAAGGGTTGTAGTTTAAGTTTAGTTTTTATGAAAATTCGTTAGAAATTATTACAACAAAAATTATATCTTGTAATTTGCATATTAGATTATTTGAACACATCATGGGATTTCAGAAATGCATCATTACAGGTTTGAAATAAAGACTTTTAATTATCTCTGCCTTCTCTGCACATGTTTAATTCATCAATGAAATTGGTTTCATCAGAATTTTAGGGTATATATGGTTTAATATTTTCTTTGTAAAAAAAAAACGAACCGATTTCAATAAAACTTACATAAGATAAGTTTTTGATTCAAAGTTTGTTTTTCAATGTGAATTATTTAGATAGTTTATGTTGTGCTTCAGATATTATTAATTTTGTTATTTTTATTAAATTTAACTATGTTTATGACCCCCAAATATAAACAATTTTTAATTTAATTTATTGGAATAGATGCACAACTGATATATGTTTAGAGACTACTGAGCTTCAGTTTCTCTGGAAAAAAACATAATTTCTGTAGAATAAAATTATAATTTCATAAGACAATACAATAATTTTGTAAAAAAAAAATATAACAAATCAATGTATGACAGGACATCTGTTTGCAAAATGAGCTTGTTGTTATAGCATCATCAACAGAAACAACAACATCCACTACTACCCCTCTATAAGGTAGACGCCTACTCATAATTTTGAGAAAGTTAGTCATAAATCGGATGGCAATGTTCATAAGCTTATTATGTAAAATCCTATGGCCACATGAAATAGCATTCTTTTGTGTGTTACAGTGACATATTTTGAGAATGTTGTCATAATATTTTTCAAAAATTGGTATTTTCAAAACTATTCCATTGAACAAAATGTTAAATTACATTTTTTTACACTTTTTAAAAGCAAGATTTTTGAAATAATTCAAAACAAGCAACCTTGCAGTCGGTAGATCCCCTCTGTAACCTTGCAGTCGGTAGATCTCCTCTGTAACCTTGCAGTGTAGATCCCCTCTGTAACCTTGCAGTCGGTAGACCCCTCTGTAACCTTGCAGTGTAGACCCCTCTGTAACCTTGCAGTCAGTAGATCCCCTCTGTAACCTTGCAGTCGGTAGACCCCTCTGTAACCTTGCAGTCGTAGACCCCTCTGTAACCTTGCAGTCGTAGATCCCCTCTGTAACCTTGCAGTCAGTAGATCTCCTCTGTAACCTTGCAGTCAGTAGATCCCCTCTGTAACCTTGCAGTCGGTAGATCTCCTCTGTAACCTTGCAGTCGGTAGATCTCCTCTGTAACCTTGCAGTCGGTAGATCTCCTCTGTAACCTTGCAGTCGGTAGATCTCCTCTGTAACCTTGCAGTCGGTAGATCTCCTCTGTAACCTTGCAGTCGGTAGATCTCCTCTGTGATTGACAAGTGAAGAGGGCAGTGGCAGTTACTATGTGGATAAGAGAAGTGGCAATGGTCACTGGAAGGGCATATACCGTAAGAGGAAAGGTATTTGTGTATGGTAATGTGTGGGTACATATAATTGATAGACAATATGACAAAGCGACATGTGATCTTAATCTTTCCTAGAAAGATCTTGGCGAAGGGTTGACCTGCTGACCCTCAACACACACGCAATCAACATGTGACCTTGAGATGATCCTGATCCGGCCTTGAAGATTTTGGGGAGGTGTTTTAGTCCCTCTCGCCACTGTTTAATATCACCCCTATAAAAGCAGCATATAAACATATGAACATTGAAATGACCTTGACCTTAATTTGAGCATTTCTGAAAAAACATTGGCCAATCCAGTTCATTTTCCAAGACAATGTGTGCTGAGAAGCCTAGCTTACAACTACTTTCTTACAGACTCCATGCATGGCCCACATATGTAAAGTGAAAAAAAGCCCCCAAAAAATAATAAAAAAAAAATCTTCCACAGAAAGGGAGATATCATCACCAAATGAGCAAACTTGAGTGAGCACTAGTCCATCTGTCTACATTATGAATTTCAAAGCAATGTGGGCAGGCGGTTTCTGAGAAGAAGTCGAAAATGCACAAAAATTAGCAAAAAAAAAAAATACACTCAAAATAGACACTCATTATGTCTGAATGTAATTCATGTTAAATTGCAAAGCAATCTGACAAGCGGTTGTGGAAAAAATAATTTTTAACCATAAATGACAAAAATATTCCCCAAAATAGAGGTTTACATGCGATTTCATGAAATAAACCAATCTGACAGAGGGGCATCCCAGGTAGGTGTGATATGAATAATGTAAGGCAATCCAGCTGACGGTTTTGGAGAAGAAGTCATTTGTATGAAAAAAGTTGACAGACAACGTACAATGACAGGTTGGTCAACCCATGAGCTCCTCTCGGTCATCTTCAATGAATTCTGGGTATTTGCATTTATAAATAGGATTAGGTATTTTAATATGGTTTATATGGTTTAGAATGTATGCATGTAATCTGGTATATTGTCTACTCAGATATGGAGCAAGTGAGACAGGGTTTACAATGTATGCATGTAATCTGGTATATTGTCTCCTCAGATATGGAGCAAGTGAGACAGGGTTTACAATGTATGAATGTAATCTGGTATATTGTCTACTCAGATATGGAGCAAGTGAGACAGGGTTTACAATGTATGAATGTAATCTGGTATATTGTCTACACAGATATGGAGCAAGTGAGACAGGGTTTACAATGTATGCATGTAATCTGGTATATTGTCTCCTCAGATATGGAGCAAGTGAGACTAGGTTTACAATGTGCACATGTAATCTGTTATATGTTCTGGTAACAAGATATGTAGACATTCAATACAACTCAGAAATACTCAAGCAAACACTATCAATCATGACAAACCTGGCATATTATATCAATATTGCACAATTTTATTTTGAATAAATCATCCTACATTTCATCTAATATCAATAACTTACAAATATTCATACAGATAGCAGCATCTACAAAAAAATAACATTAATAACAGCTCTTTGCAAGTCCTTAGTATTGGTCTTACCATTACTCTTGTTCAGAAAATGACACAATATATACCAAAATTAGTTAAACTAATGTGAAATAATAAATTAAATGCAAATTATCAAAATTCCATGCATGATGTTTAAAACTGGGCCCAGGAACAGTTATACAAACATGTGACCAATATGAGTGCACTTTACCCACAATGCACCTCATTCAATATGACAATTACTGGCCATCAATCATACTTTAATCACATACATAAGTACAAAGTAAATTTAAAACCATCTTTATAAAAAAAAAAATATTCATGTCAAGTTGAGAATCTCATCTAAAGTTGGCAACACTGAAGAGTGAAATTAAACGGCAGTATAAATTACAAGGAAGAGAAACATTGTGAAGTTTTATTCTCTCAAATTGGTTGCATAGGAGCACTGACAATTTACAATAATTTTGATTTACTAGTAAAAAAAAAAATATGAACTGGATTGAAATCCAAGGCACTGGAATGACAGGAGATGCTTCACCTGTAATGAGCCACTAAAATGAGGTCAACCAGTTTTAACATCAGTCTAATATTCTATATTCTGCGACCGGAGAATATAACATAGCTGCCGAATTCACTTGACTGAGCCACTTGGTCTATTTCTCAGGGGAATCCCTGGGTCAACAAGACAGATTTGGAGATTTTATAGAAATAACCATCTAAACCATGTGCACACTAACTTTATTCAGTTGTAATCAAGCACGATAACAATTTACCAATACTTGTAATTACAAAGTGGAAGGAAATAGGAAAACAAAAGACTATCGTTTGAAGAAAGTTCTAGCTCTACCGAGTGAGTGAGATTAAATATGCACTTATTTTGCATATCGAAAAGTGTGCTCCAAGCTGAAAAAAACACTATATATACTATTTATATATATAGTAAAACGTTATTGATATGTTTTGATAAGTAAACAATTCCAAAATACATTGTTTGGAGAGTGGGGACAGGTAACCAAAATAAAAAAAACAAAAACAGCCACTTTTATTTTGTTTTGAAAATATCTGTAATCTTTGACATGGAACAACTGACATTGAACTCTGACCATGTTTTAAATATTATAAAATGTTCATGAATTTCTGTTGATGTACATTATCACAAAAATACATCTTGTTCAAGATTCAATTCGTTCATTATAAAAAAAAAATAACTAACAATGACTGAAAGTTGGAGAACAAACAAAAATAAGGAGATCTAAAAAGCATTAAAAAGAGCTATATACTATGTCTTAAAAAAATGCTAACATAGAGGGCGCTAAATACAGACTAGTCTGTCTAGGTTGTAGGTGCTTTTTCGCAGACAATCTACACTGTAAACAACATTAACGAATAATAATAGACACTTGATTATGATGGACTAAATGACCGACATAATTCACTGCAAAAATGAGAAAAAACCATGAAGAATAAATTTCAATTAATTATACAAATCATTTATACAAACAATTCAATGTGTTTTTAATCAATATACAAATTCTATTCAATTTTTGCAATAACAATAAACAATGAAAGAAGGATTGGCAACAAGCAAGCAGCCATGCACAGAATTAGGTGTTAACAAGTGAGAAAGCACCAACAAAATATCCCACACTCGTCAATTCACCATCAGAAATCTACAAATTATGGGAATATTAAACAGAATAAAGTATTTTTTTTAAATAACATAATTAGCCAAAAGAAAAAGATCTGTTTTGGTCCAAAGTTCCTTAAAAAATGATACTGTAAAATGACTAATTTTCACTGGGTTTAAATTTCACTGATTTACCATTTCAGGAATATTCAGTGGGTTTTAAATTCACGGTTTTATCATTTAGACAATGTGTTCTATGCTAAATTTTACATATTCACTGGGTTTTAATTTAGTGCATTTTCCAGACAGCGAAATAAGCTAAATTAAAACCCAGTGAATAATTAACCCTTTTACAGTACCATGATTTTTTTCTTTTTATTCATGAAACATCAAAAAAGTTGATCTGTGCATGCATGAACAAGATATGGCACCATAAACGACAGCTACATTCTTCCCCGAGCACGTCATTTATAACTGACGTGCATGATAACCAGAAACAGATCTATTTTATTTGGCCTTATGTACAATTCTTATCCATCACCAAAGGAATATGGAGATGTCTACTATGACATGTTGTTAAGTTAATTGGCACTTATGAAATTTTTAAACTGTCAGAAAGAATAACAAAGAAGAAACACCAACACAACATTGTTGCAAAAATATTTTCGTTGCAACAAAACTGATGGTATTTTTAGAGTGGGAAATTAGGGACACTCACTGGTGCATTGTCTATACTCATGGAGCAGCAGTAGCGCTGGAAAATAAAGATTTACAGCAATTATTGAGTTATCAAATACTATGAAGGAACAACCTGGAATATTTTGAGAAAGTTTTTCAACTTATCAATAGATGTCTGTGTTTTCTTGCTGTTATCGAGGAGTTCTCCTTTCGACTTCATCTCGTGCTGCAAAATTAATCAAAAATAAATCAATTAGAAATTTATCCCAATCACCAAATTAGCAGATGCCTTTTATTGAAGGTCAGATAACAGACTAGGCACATTGTGTATTGAAAGAAAACAAAAAGCACCATAGTTTGAGGGCAGTTTCACAAAATTAACACTTTTAAGAAATCTTGTCACAGCTCCTCACATGTTCAAGTAAGTGAAGCTGTGATCAATTTATTCATTCATCTTGGTAGTATTGATACCATAAATACACAAATAAAATGTACATGGCGTTTCTAATACTAGCACACATTATAATTGAATTTAATAGAAAATTGTACACATATTGTAAATACTGTGTGGGATCCCTAATATCAAACATGACACGGTGGAGTATCTTGGAATCATTCTATCAGCTTGGTCATGATATACATGAAGTAATAATACTGAGAAACGAGCTATATGCCATTTTAATATATAGTCAAGAAACAAACTTTGAACTACAACTCAGTACTCACCATAATTTTTTCCTTGAGCTGCTGTGCTTTTGTTTCAAGCTGACCACGTTCTGATGCAAGCTCAGATTGTCTTTTCATCAGTTTCTTCTTCTCCTCCTCCCTAGCGGCTTTATGAGCTATATACGAATGAACAATAGCCAAAGTACCAGGCCACTGACCATCATTACCAGCCTGCTATGCGAATAAACATATCATAATGTCAGCTGTTGCACGTAGCAGTTACATATTTCATATCTGATAGACATAGTTGAGATACAAAGCTTACAGTGCTAATAAAGACCTGACTTACTTACTACTATATGTTACTGAGGAACGTAACAAGTTATTAAGCAGAATAACAAATACACGTTAAGGGCATGTCAATAATATTAAGTAGGAGATTCCAACATAATTCGTGAAGTACAAGCAAAACGATGCAATATGTGCAGGGTATCAAACAAGCAGATGAGTCAAACGTGTGATGACATGCACTCCATGCCAAGGTAAACAGGAAAGTTAGTACAGTACAACCTGTCTAAACCACACCCCATTTTCCCGCAGTTCCTTCTCAAAGAATTTGCTTATACAACCGGGAAACCTCAATGAACTTATGTTTGTCCCTCTAAGTCTTCGGTTTAGACAGGTGTCACACTAATTGGAATTTGTTTGCTACTACACTGTGGTCCAGTAAATTACAGCAAATAGTATGTGGGGTGTCAAAACACTTCTGTAGTAAGCAATGCAGCTTCTCAGAGGAATGGAATCTCACAAATTGTGTTTGTGTGCATATATATGTACATTGCTAAAAAAAATTTCACTGTCAATATAAAATAATAGAGAGGTCTGCAGAGAAGTATTGTGTTTTAGCTGATGAAATATGGCAAGTTTGTTATCTGTTTTGAGTTTGATATCAATACTTTCTCTGTTAAACGTTGCTCATGATACAATGTGCAAGTTGAAAATGTTACACAAGTCGCACAAATAACAAGTAATTTAACAAGATGGTAGGCTGATTGGTGATCCACTCTGCTAAAAAAAAAAAGGCATTTTTTGGGTGTTGCCATGGTAATGGTAGGACAGACTAAAAAACTTAAGGCACACACTCAAGCAAAATGGATTGAGATATGTGATGGGTTTTGACTCAAAGATCTGTATGATGATTTTTTGTGAAACTAAAATTCAGCTTTTCAGGCCACAGTCATTGTTACAGTAGGACAGAACTAATTTTTTACAAATTTGTCCACCTTTCTAAAGTGCGGCTGTGACCTGCCTGTCAAGTTTGACCAAAATTGTCCCAGCCCAGCAAAGCAGAGCAGATCGCCAACAGGATAACCAATGTTCTTAATTTTAACATATTTTCTATGTTAGAAGTGCACATAAAATCAATATTGCTTTTATTGTAAACTGGATTATTAAAATACTGTAAAGGCATTAATTTCACAATTTTGATGATATTCACTGATTATTAAAATTCACAGATTTTGAAATGAAACTATGAATTCTACTGTAATAATGAATATTCACACAATTTAATTTAGCTGATTTTTACTTTATCAGCGAAATTAAAACCCAATGAATAATTTATACTTTTACAGTACATTGACGAGATATATGTCTTTTTCGTAGGCTATTTTCCAATGTAGTGGCAAGAAATTGAATTACTATTGGAAAAGAAAGTGATGTTAAAGTCAAATTTCAATGACATTCTGTAATTTTGGCTCATTCACGGTGAAATAACAAAGCAGAATATTTCTATAAAAGAATCAAACAAAGCTATGATAGTGATGTGAAAACAACAATGGACAATTAATGTAAAGATCAGATAAGCTCAGACATCAGACAGGTTATATGCAAGTATATTCGGGCATAATGTTATTTAGTCTGTCCTATATTTTGTCATTTTTAGGTAAACATTTACTGAAAAATATTTTCAGGTAAAAGTGCATGATAGTTGAAATTTATTTTCACCGAATACACTGTTTTAATGTGCTACATTAAAGTTTTTTTCCCCACACAGTTTCCTTGGGTTTAACGCACATTTTTTGCATTTTACTTTAACTGATGTTCCCCTGCAGCGAAAAATAAAGTACAGTAATCCACAGTATTGAGTGAAATGCAAAAATGCAATGCTAGTCCTAGTGGCTGTGACAGGGTTATTAGCAAGATATCTGCTGTTAAAGACCAAACAATAAGTGAGATAACTGTTTTGATCTTCTAAATTCAAGGTCAAATAATAATCTCTGGTGGAAAATGCTTCACGACTTCATGGTGTAAGTTGGAAAGATGGAAAACCTAGCTTCAGGAAAGTAGGGTATTACAGAAACGTACGAATAAGACAATATTAATGTTGCATCAGATCATTCAGAGTTAGCAAACAAAATGTGAATGTTTAGTAAATACTCTCCACAATTGGTGCATGAACACCATCAAAATTTCACACAATTCTCAAGAACTTAATATGTCACACAGTGAATGTTGCATTGTATGATCAGTATTTTAAACAATTTTCATCACAGATTTCACAATTCAGCATCAATATGAAATAAGTGAGCAACACCCCGACCGGCTGCATGTACACGGACATGATATGAACTGGGAAGGGAGGGGTGGTGCTCCCCCAAATGATATAAACAGTCTGATGTCATGAAGCGTTTGCATCTGGTTTTGGGAATCGGTGACAAACATACATACATTAGAAATAAAACAGGATTGAAGTGCTGAAAATGGGTGAGAGAGTGAAGAAAATGAAAGAGAAACTAAACAAAAACAAACAAAAAAACTAGCAATACCTGGCATTGGGGACAAATCCATATGCCAGCAGGTATAAAGCTTAAGGGGGGATCTAAACAGCCAAGGTGGTATACTAGGCTGCAGGTATCACACATCAGTAATTCACCACTTTGTTTACAAACAGCACAGATATCATCATGTCCCTAGTAAAAGGCAAGGTACAAATGTCAATAAAAGAAAATCAAACCAGGAAAAACAAAGTTTTCTTTTTCAAATCATGCAAAACAAAAAACTACACATGCATTGAAAAAAGGAAGTGAAACCAAAGTGATACAAAGAAAGGTGGGTAGGGTTAGGAATAAGAAAAGAATGATCAATGAAACTGAGCAAGTTGTTTATCCATCACCTCCTTAGACTTTGTGAAATCTACTAGCATTATAAATATATGTTACTACTTTGAGGCAAGAACCTGCATTTTAATGGTCAAGTACAACTGCATTGTTGCCAGTCAATAAATAATGCTACCCTTAATTTTGAATATTGACAACAAAGGCAGCCAGACAAGGGTTACAAGAAATCAAATTCAGACATTCCCAACGAGTATTCACAAGTGTCCAAGATATAATGTTTGTACTTTATACATGGGAATCACAAACAACCTTTGTTGATTTTGGCTCAATGTATCGCCTGCTGCTATTTTCCCCATTCATTTTGGCTATCCATGGAGGTTTTCAGCAGACAATGTGTTGTGAATTATAAAGCAACACAGCTCAGATTTGCTGCCAAGTAGAAGCCAGTTCTCCTCAGTTGAAACTGTGACGCATGTAATGTAGCTTAATAAAAAATACCCGGATTACCATGGACCAATGGCAAACAATGTGCAATCTATTAAACCACTCACCATAAAGTTCCAAATAACAACAGTAATAAATCATTGAAACATTAGAGCAATTCAGACAGGAAACGTTTGAAATTTCAACCTATGCTCAGTTACCAGCAAAACGTAGGCTTACTCTGGGAAACAACTGTCAAAATTTTCAACGTGGAACTCTATGGTAAATTGCCAAGATAAAGACATTGACCACCAACTTGCAACAATGCAGGTTCTTCCTTTGTTATAATATAATATAATATAATAATAATTACAATAATGTTTGCTTCAATGTTACTATATATTTGAGATTATCAGATTATTACTAAATATTGGTTAGATTTTGATTAAGCAAGTGAACACAATTGGCAAAACTAGAACACATATCAGTTCCATCTGCTGAATTGTTAAGCCTAGCATGCATATAACCAAGTTATGATAAGCAGCAATGCAATAGAATTTTACCGATGAGCTCATGCATTTTCCCCTTTGCTGTAAATGTAAAAAAGAAGAGGTAGATGTGCTTTATTAAACTCTGCATACACATCAAATGAAGCTTATTATACACCACTTTTGATAGCAACTATGAGTGATAGAATAACCCTCCACATACTCAACATGTATTAAATAGAATATGATACACTTATGTTCAGAAACACTCAATAATGTCCCATTGGACACACTCTTTTAATTGGTGATTCAGAATGCCACTTTGAGAGTTTGAAATAACAAGCACCATTTTAAAGCCCAGATTGCAGTCAAATGGAGATTTATCATATGTCCAACTGTACGCCACAAACTTCTCTCGCATGTGGTTACACAATTACGCACTACTGAATGTAAATTGTTCATACATACATATCCAAAAACGAGAAGCTGAATGCTTGAGTTATATTTGGTACATGCAAACTGCACATAGAGAGGAAGGCAACAGACGCCCCCCCCCCCCCCCCCAGAGCCTGACCTCTTCTCCTTACAGATGAAATGATTATGCTACTTTTTCACATCTTGCAGAATATCAAATGAAAATGCGATAAACAAATTTTTCTCCTTTCAGATCATCACTAGAAATAGAAATTGTCACAAGATTTACCTATTGATAACAGCAACAATTTACAAACTGAAACCGACAAGTGAGGTATGTCTGTGGCGTACAGTGGCAAACTTCAGGATGTTGTACATCTCAAGGATTAGAATGCAGAATGACTTAAAAGTTTGATTACTTACATCATTCATGTGTGACCTTTTAAAATTTCCATTGTAATGGAAAATTGAGTTTTCTTCGTCTTCAGGTGAACTTGGTCGACTACCGTCAGAGAACTTTGGTGGACGACCTATAGATATTAGACAAAACAACCTTTATTAGACAATCAGTTTACATAGCTGGTCGGGGCAAACATATTTTAGAATAGAAAACTTTAGAAATATTTTAACTAGATAAGTCAAGGTGCGCCGCTACATTTCATGTGTGAAGGAAGTTCTGAATGCATTTTAACTATGTTCATAATGTTAGATTCGTTGTCCAACGATGAAATACCAAACAATATTACCACTAAATCAAAGTGTACATACAATAGACCAGTTCGAGTTTCTCAAAGTTTCCTGGTTGCCAAGCAACCATGTGCGCGAAGAGGGAAGAAGGGATCGAATCAACATGGATTCATTTCCAGTCAGCAGGAATATGCAGTTTTAGAGAGTTAATTTATTAAAGGGTGGCAGTCATTGTGCCGCGTCCTGTTAGCTATGGCACTCATAGCGACGTATACAACAGATGTAAAATACATTGTTCATTTACATAAAATTCGAACACGCGCTGCACGACGACCACCGCACACCACTCAAAATGAATAAAGACAAACTATTATTTATATCATCACGATGTTTGTACAAGCTTTTGTCAAATTTTTCTGGGAAACCACATACAAACATGTATATTAAACTTGGTGAAAACTGGTGCAACTTGAGGCAACCATGGAACACGCCCCAGAACTTAAACTTGTCTATTGCATTTATCAGCAATCTGTGGATTGCAACCAAATTTTTTTTCTAGTTTCTGATAAATTGAAATTATATTTGCCATATTGCCTTGTGAAGCCGCTATAATTAGATGATAAATATTCACCTCGTCGTTTCTTTTCATTCGTTGGGTGTGCACTCAGGTAGGATCCAACATGCCTCTTGCGCTGCAATTAACAAAACCTGAGCATTAGTAAACAGAATTATTGTATAAAGCTAATTCCAATGACAGTAATCATATGACAAACCAGTTAACATCAATAATCTATATCTTAAATTATTCATTTCTCTAATAAAAAACTTGTGCATATTTTGGATATTTTTTCACAATAAAAATCTAATAAAAGCAGTTGACTAGACAGTGATAACAATTTCTCAAGCTTTGGTAAACTATTCCACTTACATCGGGCTCGTACTGACTGTAATTGCTAAACTGAGGGTTGGCAGTGCTTCTTCGCTTTCTCTCGGTTCTTCGACTATGGATTTCTGCTAATGTCTGAGGTGTAATCAGCCCTAGAGACGCCATAAATTCAACTTTCTGGAATAAAAGAGAACAAAAAAATAAAATTTCAATCAAGATCCAAATTATTGAAGTATTTCTTATCTTGTCAAAACATACAGCTAAGTAGCAAACAGTGCATTGTACTGGAATTAGAGAAATAAACAAGATAAAAATATATAGTGTGAACTGACCTTTCCTTCCCCAGGCTTCATGTGTGACTTTGATACAATATTTTCTGCTTTGGACATATCTACTAGTGGATTGGCTCGCGAGTACATTCCTTTGTCTGGTGTGGATGGTCGTCGTTCACTGACTTATGATATGTGATCGCTAAAATAACACTCAGTCA